CGCGGCATGATTTTTTAATGGAATGTAATTTATAGTTGGGAGGGGACTGGGCGTGCGGAGTCGGTCGGAATCGGAATCGCAGGCCGGCAGACGGGCGTGCACTCGATTGCATTTTGGCCGAATGCACTGGCCGTGTGCCAAATGAGACGGCAAAAACGACACAAATTGCTTGGCTATCTGCTCCCCTCCCCTCCCTCAGCCCATCCATTTGGGCCCACTCGCTGTCTGGCGGTACGAAATGTGTTTCAAACTCAAATGGCATGTCAAAGAGCAGTGGCTCTTAGACTATGTAAATTTCAAATAAATATTGCAGATTTAAAAAAAAGTATACTTTTTACAGGAAATAAACTTTAATATTTATATATAAAACTAAAAAAAAATATTTAAAAAATATTAATAATATTTCTGTTCCATCTTTGCCATCTTTTTATGCACCTTAACTTTATAAGTTTTTATGTACCCAAAGAAACCATTACGGTAAGTGTAATTGATCTAACAGGAAATAACCCCGTAATTTGCACTAATTTATTGCAATTTAAAAATCGATAACCAATCCAAATGGCCAATTTGAAGGGTTAATAAAAAATAACTCTCCATTTCAAACGCTTAAATAGAAGCTCTGTACATTTAAAACTTCAATATAAACTTGTATACTTTTTTTGTGGCCCATTTAACTTACGTTTTCAATAAAGTTACGTATAAAACTATTGCTTGGCTTTTTTCAAATGTATGCAAAAAGAGTTTCAGAGCAAACTTTTCCATCTGGACCGGAAATTGATCTTGGCTGGGGAAACCGACTCGTTTTCCCCACTGCTGAATTCAAGCATGAATAACTTATTGGAATCGGAACTCTTAATTAATGGCAGCATTTTTCTGTGCGCTCTTTAAGGAGTTGAATAACACAGTGCCGACAGTAACATGACAATGAGGCAATCACAACAATTTTGACAATTCCATTTATCTTATTTGCACGAATTCGCAGCCATAATCGACAGAACAAATAAATCGCCAAAAGGGGCTTGAAGTTCTGAAGGGGAAAATTACTGCGAATATTACGCGATGCTCATGCACGATATATGCAGTGTAAAAAATCCCTATTAACTTAATACAATATTTACACAAAATTTTGATTTTGTAATAAGTATAGATATTAGTTATGAACTATGTTTCAAAGTTTATTTATAAGGTAAATGTTATTTGGATTATTTTATGATTTATAAAATGTATAATTTTATTGAAATGGATGTAAAAACTTCAAGTTGGAATTTTTATCTTTAACAAAGATTTTTTATAATTACTAATATTTTGTATTAGTTAATAGTATTTTCTAATTTTACTGTGTACTTAAACAAAAATGGGGCCACAAAGAAACCGCCGGCTGCTGCTTTAATCGAATCAAACTGAGCAAATCCGCGGGGCGCAGAGATTCAGGTGAACGAACGACGAGACTTTGCCTCCGACTTTCACTCCCATTGCATCATAGAACTTTCTCAACGCCTTGACATTCTCCATTCTCCAACCCGATCCCCCGTCTTTCCCCTTTTCCCAGCCTTTCACTCACGTGCAATTAAAATGCCTTTGAAATGCAATCTGCGACGCGTTGCGTTGATTTGATTTGAGCCCGACATCGCGTGAGTCGAGCTGTGGGCTTGCATAATACCCCTGTGTTCATGGGAAGATATCGGAAGACTCATGGGGGGTCTGGGACTGGGAAAATGGAAGTAATTATATGTGCAAATATTTTCTAATGAGCAAGTGCAATGAGTACCATTTAATTCAAATGGGCAGAGCCGCAGAGCAAACGTTTTGCTGCCGCGAATGTGTAATGAGAGGGAACTTATTCTACTTCATATATTCTTAATCATCCCGCTGCCTTTGCTTTTCACGCAGCTGGAAAATGGAACATGCAAAGCCTTTTAGCAGCTGGCAGGGGAATCCCCTGGCACTTCACAGAGTAAACTAATGAAAGCAGAAATTTATCACACGGAGAAAGTCGCTAGCCGACAAGTAGAGTAAATTAATCAGTGAATTCCTATTTTTATATTTACATTGCCATGAATGCGATGTTGACTCAATTAAATATCTTATCTCAGGGAAATGCCCATTCATTGAAGACCGGAGACTAAATTAAGTACGAATGAATATGATAAATTTGTTGATAAAACAGAAAATTCCAAGAATTTATTGTGCCACACAATTAGGTCACTTGAGGGATACAAATAAAATAAGAGATACATTTGAGAACTCGAGATACCATTTGTATATTTCTTATTACTTGGGACATAGTTTCCTTGTGCTATAAATAAACCTTATCAAATCGTTGCCTACGTCACTTGCAGTTTAACAACTGTAAAGCCTAGCAAAAACAGCACATAAAAGCAAATAAATAAACGAATAAAATGAGAGAAAAGAGGCTTTTTTACGACTACAGGCGGCGCTAATTCATTGACCCACATGGCGTATACGCAATCAGCCGACCTTAAGTCGCCGACATTGCGTATACGACGTGGTGAGAGCTCAGCCAGGATCAAGGACAAAGCCGGCGGCCAAAGGAAGCTCTGATTTCAGAAGCACAGAGCTACAAAGCCAGCTAATGTCCTTTTGTCAGCGGCCAATTCCCCTCTTGCCACGTGAAGCTGACAAAATATTTTGGCATAATTAACCCTGCTCCTCGAGGACAAGTGGGCGGGAAAAGCGGCAGAAGCTTGTGGCACTGTGCAATTAAAGTTTCTGGCATTGCGACGGATTGCACAAAAGGTTTTCACCATTTAGATTTTCCATTACAGATTGCTAAAATGGAACAAAACTATGGGAAACTGTTGAGTTTTCAACGCTTTTTTCCGGCTAGTGCATTTCCAGCGACAGTGAAACAGAAGCTGCCGGACTGCGAAGTATGACTTGCGCTCAGTTGATTTTTGAAATTAATTGAAATTGTTGAGGGAGTGGTGTGAAATGCTAGGGAAAGGGCTGGGGATTCGGCTCGAAGGATAAGGCTTAGGGCTCTGACGTCAATGTCAAATGCGCAGTTTGGCAGGCACTTTACGGGGCTCAAGTCCTTTTGATGAGTGGAATTTCGGTGCCGGCTGAGAAAGCAATTTGAAAAGGTTTCCGCACTGACTGCCGGATTAGGTAAATTGTTAATTTCAAATGGGAAAGTTCGAGAACGGGGCAAGTGAAAGCCGCCTCATCCTTCATCTTAACTGCACCCACACGGCCGGCAATTGCGCTCGGTGTCCACATTTCAATTGGATTCAATTCGCACCGAGAGCTGCCGGCTTCCACACCCTCTGATTTTCACTCTATCCGATTTATCCAGTACACTTTTTACACTTTACACTTTGCCCGCACTCGATAGCTGTGCGTATGTCTAGAGCGCTGTTACGAAATCATTCTGCCAGCACGTGAAAACAGAAAGTCACTGAGGTACAGTGGTTCCTCGAGAGGTGGATAAAAATAATAATAATTACTTAAATAAAAATATATTTTAAGTTTTAAGTGTTTTGTTATTAAGCAAGTAAATTTATTAATTACAATGTTTACAACTTTATAACTATATTGTTATTTTATTTATCTATTCTATTTATATTTATCTATATTCTCTATGCATATAATTCCATCAATTAATATATTTAAATAATCGTCAGCCTTAACATTTCTTAAGGAAAATGAATTTACTTGAAATAACAACTAACCTACCTATTTTTAGCTAAATATGTATTATTATCCAATATTGCATTTAAGGAATAGTTAACCTAAACAATTTTTAAGGAATATAAATTTATTTAATACTTTTCATATTCATAACATTTAGACAATATTTATTAGTAAGACATTTATTATGTAGCTCTTTAAGACCTCCATTTTGATTTAACATTTTCTCTAAAATGGAGTAAAGCCTGTAGCCCATTTTCGAGTGTCCACTGTACCAGCTGGGCAGTGCAGAATTAGTAGAACAACGGCATTTCCGTTATGCACTAAAAAAATCGGCAATAAAAATAAAACAAGAGAGTTTCTGTTGCGTCAATGCCATTGTCAATGGCGGAGAACGCCGAACAGTTTTGCATTCACTGCTCGTCTGGCCGCCTGCATTTCACATTTTGCCTTCAATCGATACTTTGAACCTTTGACTGGTGGCCGAGTGCCCGATTGACTGGCTGGCTGGGTCTTCGTTTTGATTGATTTGATTGTTTTGCATTCGCCCGTTTTAAGTATTCGCATAAAGCGCGAAAATTTCAGCGGGAGTGTGCGATTCGGATGCCCCAAGTTCAGGCGGCCGAGCAATTAAATTGCGAGCGAATCGAAGACTGAAAAATCAATCAGCGGCGGGCGACGCAAATCGATCAGCTCGAATCGACAGACGTTGTCGCATAAATTTCATTAAATTGCCAGCTGTCGCTTGAACAGACTCAAGACCCAAGAAAGTCGCGACTTTGAAACGGCTTCGGCGTCTGAGAAATGTATTGTTTTACCCCATTAGCAATGCCAAAAGCGGGAATGCACTCTATTTATAAGCGGGTAATGACTCTAAATTCAGAACCATTCTCTTCTTACACTTTCTAATTCAGTCTGAAACTGACTTTCCCTGGCTTTAAAAATTTAATTCTTTGTTTTTCCCACGTGGCTTTTGACCTTTGCCAGGCGGAAATTGTTGCGACCGCAAGGAAGTATAAATTCATTAGCCGAAAAGTTTTCTCTTATCTATTTGCAGGCGGGAAGAAAGCAGAAAAATAAGGAAAACAGAATCAGACCCAAACAAAAACTGGGGGAACAAGTTTAAAAGTGGCATTAATAGCTAATTTATTGGCTATTAAAACTTTTTTAAGGTTTTTGATTGAAGGACACCCTTGCAGTGGATCAGGAAACTTTTATTAAATATTATAGACCATACTTAAAAAATATTTATATATCCATTTAAGCCTGTATAAGACACATATATTTGTAAACTAGTCTTCTTAAAAGCAGAAGACAGATAGTACTAGGGATTTTTACATATTACTTAAAAACGTTTTATTTAAGATCGAACAAAAAGTACGATTAGCTGAACCTTAGGCTAAACAAAAAATAAAAGCCAGTCATAGTCATAAGAAGCAAATGGCTTTGGCGGTTCCAAATGTTTTCTTGTCCGTTACTTGATTTCTCTGTAGATTTCTGAGATATACAAGGGCAGCCCTCGGGGAATACTTGGCGAACAGTTCCCACCACTAGGCATTTGGAACATTCCGCCGGTTTGTTCTTACCCTTCACAGCTTGGCAGCCCATCTCAGGGGACCAGAAGCAACATGTGTTTTGAATGCTGGCTAAAAATAATTCCTTTTATAATAACACCCCAACTTAACTCAACTGACTTATTATCTTACTTATTTCGGAGAAATAATGATCCTTCGGCAAACATTTCTTTAAATTACTTGGTATAATCGCATTTTCTTTAAATTGAACATGAGATGCGTCGTCGGGACTTTCGCAGAAAAATCCGATCTCTTCAATTTTACAATCTTCATTGACCTTTTCACAGTCGGCGCACTCCATGTTTATAAATCCATCATCTATGGGCTTGTATCCGTGTCTATATCCTGGTGAAATGACTCTTTCTGTTAACATTAAAATGAATATACCAAGCCACAAAGAACGGTTCATTTTAGGGTAAAACTACAAATTTTGTCTGAAGAACTGATAAATTCAGTCATAATAAACTAAAATTTCTGATTTTGAAAAAACCCAAGCCTATTTAGATAGCGAATCCAAGGGCATTTTTGGGCAGTATTTTAGAAGTCGTAATTTTGAAACTTACAAGAATATTTTAATAGGTTGTGCTCTGATTTATTATGCAGAAACTATTAAACTTCATTAAATCAATTTTAATATTTTAGTTCGGCTAAGCCCTTTATGATTTTAATTTATTCTTTATTCTCGACTTTTGTCTACCCGAAAACTGGTCTTATGTAATTTCCAGCTTTGTTGGCCGAAACAATTTGTAGAGAATATTTTTTATTGACGTGACATTGTTGCATTTTACAATTTTTGTTGGTGTAATGGCTGGCACTTGTCTATGCTGCCTGACTCAGTTAACTTTTCAATGTCTGTCTACAAAGGTTAAAAAAAAACTCGTAAATATATGGTAAGAAAGATTGAAAAAGTTTAAAGATAGCCATGTTCAAAAGATATAAAATGTAAAACAAAAGTAAAATATATTTTTGAACAATGGGTTACTCGTTATATTTATATATTTAGGTATGTCTGTGTTTCATTTTTTATTTTCTATATTTTTTTCAACCCAACATGGATGACATAAGCCAGAAAAGTGGCCATTCTGCCAGGCGTTTTTCGTTTCACAAAGCTTAATTTGATTTGATGTATACATTTTGCCCATGCCTTTTGTGGGCCAGTCGCACAGTTTTTTGCCTGCACTTTGTCACTTTTTGTTTGCCGTTTGTGGGGCTGCCATATAATTGAATCAGAGCCATTGGGCGTGTCGTTGACGAAATGGGCAATTAAGCGGAGCCAGCGGAGAGTCGACCATTGTGGATTGGATCAGCCGAGATCGATTGGCAATCGCTGGCTTCAGCTTTACAGAGTCCCCGGTTTTAACGGCGTTTATGAATAATTTCCGTGGTCGTGGTCCCAGTTTGCCTTCGGATGGTTAAGTGTTCTGTGTATAACCAGTTACCAAATCTTCAAAGTCGCCTGCCTGTCTGGCAATCGAACTATCTGGATTTCGGCTTTACGCCCTGGTGGCTTTTAACTTGATTCGAGGCTTTATTTTTAGCAAATCTCATTATACAAGTTTCTCTGTCCGCAGCCCTTCTCCCCCTCCATCGATTTCATAAATATTTATTGTGTCGTTCGGTCTTATTTAATGCAAACACATGTTTCCCTCAGCGAGGGATGCCTCAAACACAAAAGCACAAAGTTTGGTATTTCACAACTTCGAAGAAGTGTCCAACAGTCTTACACTTTATCGCTGTCCAGTGTTTGTTCTTTCGATTCTTCTTAATTGGCTGGTTTTTATGGAAGTCCAGAAAGAAAAAATTCCACTTAATTATGTCTGATACTTTTGGTACTTTTCTGTTAATTCCTGCAAAGTCATGGTGAAATAATATAACCTATGTATATCTTAGCTTCCTTAGGCGGAATTCTATAATGTTTATTTAAATGCTTCTAAACAATCCAACATTTCCCGTCCCTGCCGATAGGCTAATTTCTTCAAGAAAAAGACAGGTCAGAAATAAATAGCCGGCGCATGGATCAGGCGTTAAAAGACCCGCAAACATGTTTCGGCTTATTGCGGTTTCTTAAGAGAATACATAAAAACACAATAAGTTATTGGGGCTTTGAATCAGGTATGAATTAGCATTTTAAATAATTAAAAACCGCATATAGCAGTCCACCGAAATGACAATGCTTAAAATGCTCTAAGACAGGGGGTTCAAGTCGGTTTGTTGATATACTTACCTGGTGGTAAAGGTAATAAATATTATTAATAAGTGTTTTATGTGGTTCTTACACGCTTAGTAATATTATAAAAATATGTTTACATATATTTTATAATTTTAAAAATAGCTAAACATATATTTAATTTATTTAAAACTCATTCTGAGAGAAGTATCCCCCTTAGAAAGCGTTGTTTGTGCTCATTGACCTGTAAATACCCGCGTGGCGTGACCAGCGACATGAAAATTGAAATGAAATCCCGAATCCGCATAAACAGACACGCCTAACAATGGACACTCATTTCGCAAACAGTGCGTTAATCTATACGTACACTTCCACTTTCCGTGGGATTTGTAAAATCAAATGATATCGGCATTTATAGGGCCCTGCCCAAAAGGGCTCAATGCTCCCAGCACGCGCGTCGTCTCATTTGGAATGCCAATCAGTAGTCGCGTTTATTGGGATCCCCATCCCAGGTTCCCTGACTTCCCCGACTTCCCGATTCGGAAATGGATCAGAGCATTACGTGCAGCAGTTACAGCGGAAGTGGTTTTTAGGGCGCCTTGGCATTCTGCACAGCATTCGTGTGCCGGTCTCTATTGTTCGCATTGAACTCCCCTTTTTCATTTTTTATTTTTTATTTTCATTTGCGGCCTGCTGCAATGGAGATGTGGCACCTCTTTTGCATTGCAATGAGTAAAATGCGGAAGCAAACCATTGCGTCACATCTGGAAAAAAAGGTAAATGGTCCAAAAAAAGGCAAGAATTGTAAAGGCAATTTCGGAATACATTAAAAAGAGCGGAAAACGGGCGCCACGAAAGGAAAGTCAATTCATTAATGCCCCAACGAGCCCACAAATCATTCAAAACGTTAATGTGAAATTGTTTTTGAATGAGACGGGCACCTCTATTACTCACACGCCGTGAGTTATGATTATTTTAACAGCCACAATTATCTTTATATTAACGACTCTAAATGCCCAGCAGAATCATCCTTTACGAGAAGCTCAGTCAATAATATTAAAATGTCAAATGTTGTACAAAATTTATTTGCCGCTTGCCCTTTACCCAGTTTCAGATCCACAAATGAGTAGACAATTTTGGATTTTTCTGTTTTTTATTTAAGCCAAAGGCAGTTGGAACCACATTAAAATCATGACTATCAAAAAAAGAGCCCGCTATAAACAATCGTTTCGAGCCGGGCAGAGTCCACTGTGGTCAAGAGACACCTGGTCGCCGAGCCCATTCAAAGCTGGCCAAACAAAACCAGCCGTCAGCAGAGGCAATTGGCCAAAGTTCAACCCACCGATGACGATAGAGACATCTGCCAGACGTCAAGCACCAAAGGCACTCGAGTTTAAGGGCCGGGCCGAAGACAGTTCCAAGATGCATTGTCAAGTGCAGTGAACCCTGCCCGGTTAGATCATTTCCCAAGAACTTACTCATGCACAGGAAAAATAGTTCAGGCAGTTTATAGTATTACCTATTATTATTTAAATCAGCTACAAAGTAAACACCCTTAATTGGAGCCAATCTTGAGGGTTATTAGTTTGGTAATACATTCTAGAAATGTTACTTAATACCTACCCTGAGCACCTTATGAATATATAATTGCTTTTTAAATATATACACAAAGTAGTCTTATAATCTTAGCCATAATATTTAAATTTTGCTATTATTAAATAATTTTTATCGTTCAAAAGATTGATCCCTGACTATAAAACAAGTATGGAATATTTGCCTATATTTTAATTGTACATTTACAGATACATTTAAAATAAGTATGCGCACTCCTGGTAAATTAATCAAATGTTTTGTATCGCAATATTTCATTTAAATAACAGATATTTACTCACAAAAAATTTAAATCACACACATTTTGTGATGCATTTTTTTCTCTGTTCATCCAACCGGACGTCGGTTAGCCTATAAAAAGGTAATCGCAGCCCAATTTGTTTTAACTGAAACTTATTTGGCTTCTGGCCGTAATTAAATTCTATTTTCAACTGCGAACGTGAGTTCGAGATCCTGTCCCGCCCACATGAACTGAAGCAACTCAACCGACTCGTTTGGCGACAGTTGACCTGTCAAAGAGCAAAGGTCGCCGCTGAGTGACCCTCGATGGCCAGTGCATCGCCGCCGGAAGTGGAAGTCTACACTTGCGTTTAGTTTGGTCCCATTTGGCATGGTTATTTGTTTGGGATTCGTTTGCTGTTCCGTTCTGCGCTGCTCTTTTCTTTTTCTTTCTTTTCTCTTTGCTGTGAAAAAATCACCAATTGTTTAAACTTTCCTCGCTGGGGAGCGAAACAAACAAAACTTAGTTGCCATCGACAATTCGCCGAGCGATTTACAACCCGTCGAATTTTTATTTGTTTTCCGTCCAAAGAGGCTATCGCTTTGTTACTTTAATCGATCGAAGTAGTGCCAATTTGGCTTAGACCAAAATCCACACCCACTACAAGCGTTTAGCGGTGCCAAAAATCAAAAGGCCGATGCAATCGCAGCCAGTTTTGGCTGGAAAACCCACAATAACAATATGGAAATCTATTTTATTAATCATGATATGCCACTACAAATAAACGGAATCACAAATTTATTATGAGCCAGCTTTTGTTGCCGCTGCCAACAACGGGCTTATTATACACATTTATTAATTCAACACAAAAAATTATTGTTATTGCTGGATTATTGTTTTCATTTTTCCATTTTTTCAGCACTGCCTGCATGCGGTGCTTTGACCTAGAGGGCAAACTACAGTGGGACAAAGATCAAGAAGATAAAAAAAATTATACAGAAAATTTCAAGTCTGTACTCTCACAATTTTGGTAATATATAACCCTAAAAACTGAACTGGATCCTTAAAATATTTTGTAATTTATATGAATTTATATGAAAAACAATGCCTTTGCCCCACTGTTGTAGCAATTCACATCAGCGCGGTTTTCCAAATGTTGTCCATTCAGCGCACTACAATATTTTATTGGTAGTTCCTATACTCTTTAAATGGTATGGTATTCTTGCTATGTTAAAATCTTTAAATAAATTGGGCTGAACAAATTTGGAATGAACGATACACTTTCTTTCAAGGCTGAAAAAAAATTATATTAAACAAAAAATGTAACTACGAAGCAAAATGTGTAAGTCAATTTTTTTAAATTGAAGTAAAAAAGTATCTAAATTGTAAAAGAGCAACCATATTATAAAACAAATTGTTAAGATTATATCTATTCAATTTTTTAACAAAAAATACCATTTTATAAGGTATCAATTAAAAAACCTTCGTAT